ATTTTTTAAGATCTATCATAAGGCTATTATTTGAAATGAAGTATCCTAAAAAATCAACTTGAATAATATAATTTTTTTTTTTTTTTTTTTTTTTTTGGTATATAATCTTCTATGTCTAAATTTTTGTAATAAATTACAAACATGAAGTTCATGATTTTTTGTATGCTTAGAATAAATCAAAATATCATCTAAATAATAACCAAAAAAATGATTTAAAAAATCATTCATAAGATGTTGAAAGATGGTTGGAGTATTTTTGAGTCCAAAAGATATGACATTATATTCAAAACATTCATACTTGGTTTGAAATATTATCTTCTATTCATCTCTTTTTTTAATATAAATTAGGTTATATACTTTTTATAGATCTATTTTAATATAGAACTTAACTTAATTCAATTAATTAAAAAGTCTTAATATCAAAGGTAGATGATACCTATTTTTTATGGTGATTTTTTTGAATCCTTCATAATCTATATACATCCACAATGATCTATTTTTTTTAATTACAAATAAGATATAAGATCCTGTTAGAGATTTTGAATGGTATATGAAATTTTTGGCTAGGTTTTCATTAGTTTATTCTTTAAATTCAACCAATTCATTTTTTGATAAATTATAGATTTGTCCAAATGGTAGTTGAGTTCCCTCTTAAAGATCAATTGAGTAATCATAAAGGCAATAATCTACAAAAATATTTACATTCTTTTTCTTAAAAATATCTTGATAATATTAATATTTTTTTAAAATGCCACTTGAAATATTTCTATCATTAGAAATAAGTGTGGCATATATAACACAAGGTAATCTTTTTTTTGCAATATACAAGAAAGATTTTGTGATTACAAATACAAGTTAGGTTGCTCTAGACTTTTATTTTTTTACTTGATTGACAAAACTCTTGGTTATATTCTCAAAAAAGTCAAGACTATAAAAAATTCAATCTATTCAAGGATATGATTATAATAAATCTAATATGACATAATAAACCTAATATGATTGAATTCAAGGGAGATTTAATTATATTAAATATCACAAAGCTACTATGACCATTAATTGATATTTCTATAGGAAGGATTTTATGAATAATATTTCCAAAAGACAATAGACAACCATCTATGATTTCTACAAGAATAGGTTTAATTTTCCTTACTAAGAATATATAATGTTCTTTAATAAAATTCATCTAAAAAATATATTGAAAATCTTAAATCTAGAAAAGCAAAAGCTTTATGATGTTTAGATCCTAAACTAATATCTATTATAAAATTAAAAATTGAAAAAAAAAAAAAAAAAAAAAAAAAAACCTTCTAAAGAAAAGATAAGACCATTTCTAGATATTGTACAAGTTTTTATTTGCACAATTCCTATTGTAGCTAGACAAACTTTTATTCTAACATATTGTTTTATTTTAAAGCCATACTTCTCATTTTGTGGTTGTATTGCTTATTTAAACAATGTTGAGTAATGTATTTAGATTCTCCATAATATAAGCACAATTCTTCTTATTGATGCTATGTCTTTCTTCACTTAATAAGAAATTTGAAACATATTGCATCAATTTGCATATCTTCTACTTTCAAATATATGTGTTAAAAAGATGTTGGTATTACCATTGGATTATAAAAAATTGGGACCTAATTTGTACAACTCTCAAATTAAAATTCAGAAAGTCAATTGTCACACTTTATAGCAAAGTCAATCACTTGACTCAATGTTTGAGAATTAGGTAAGTTGAGGATGAATTTCTTTACCTCATATTATAATCCATAGAAAAATTGGTTAGTGGGTGCATCATCATTCCACTTGATATGATTTACAAATTATTACAATTATAAAGTATATAATATTATAAATTAATTGCTATATTACAAAATATGGATCTTATTGATTGTATCACAAATTGCATCATGTTCTCTATACATGGATCAAAATTCCACCAAAAAAGCCTCCAAATTATTCAATATTAGATCTTATTATTTAAAAAAAGATAAAAAATCATAATAATATAAAACTTGAAAGTAATATTCTAATAAACATGACTTGTGTTCTTGAAGTTAAATAACTTTGGAGTTGAAGTTCAATTGTCAATTGCACTTAATTTATGAATCCTAAAAACTTTAATCTTGTGCCATTAAATTTCTTACGTATGGAAATTTTTGGTTTTCTAATATTTAAACAGTATTCCATCATAGAAAAAATAACATGGTTTAATGCAAATATTGAAACAACTCCAATCATCTCTATATCTTTACTTCTTGCCAATCTTATTGCTCCATATGGTGATAAATTGAGTTGATGTATTTCAAGCATTAACTCCTTTAATTGCTCTTGCACTTATATCATTATATTAATTATTTTAATAAGATTTGCAACGATAACACTAAAAAAAAATTAAAAAAAAAAAAAAAAAAAAAAAAAATGTAATATTGCTCAAAGCAAATAGAAGAAATGACTTAAAAACAAAGAAAATACTAAAAATAATATCAATTTAGAAGAGGATAATTTACAACTTCTAATATGTTTATGTCTTATTAAGAAAAAATAGTAATCCACTTTTAATCAAGAAAAGATAAAGTTCTAATATTGTAAGTATATTCTTGTCAGTCTGTCAAGGATAAGAACTTGATGAAAACAAATAAAGAAGTGAAAATTTTCTCAAGGGAAGATGAGAAAATAAAAATAAGAAATTATGGATATTAAAAAGAAAGTAGAATGGCTATTGCCAAAAGATAAGAAAACTAGAGATTCTTGAAATTAGACTAGAAACAAAAAAGAAATTAATAAGAATGAAAAAAACTTTACTCTTGTCTCTATATACTATCTAACTAAGAGCTATGTGGTGACTTTCTATAGAACCTCCAACACCTCTCCAATTTGCAAGGCACGTGTCTTAAATTGCAAGATAAGTTTCATGTATGTGTGCCATATAATTACCTTATATCACAAGCTACCATCATGTACAATACATGGCTAATTTATTGACAATTCATCCTATCAATCACCTATAGACATATATATAAAGATGAAACCACGTCCATAAAGCTTATAGGAAGCTTTTCTATAAGATATTATCAAAAATATATATATGATGTATTTTTTAATAATTGTGAATAAATTCTATTATGAATTGATGCAGGTCTCAAAATTACATATACACTTGATTTATATTAAAAATATCTTGATATAAATTTTGAAATATGGCTAACATATTTTTAAATAAATGAATTAGATTCATATTCATATAAATCATAAGTCATTCATTATTACAAGCATCTTGGAGGTTGTTTTTGAATAAGCTATGCTTAATGGCATTGTGTCTTAGATATTAAGATTGATGGTATTTTGGAACTTGTGAGTATATATAGTTGGACATATATTATCTTAATAGATAGGCATGTTGACAGTCTTTTGGACCATGATAGGTAACATACTCATTTATAGAGTTAGTGGCATCAACACCATAAGATATATATGAGATTAAAGTAGGCTGTACTTATGTAGAATATATTATTGAAGGTCTTTAAAATAAGAAGATATATACCATCATAAAGTCATTTGTCAAAAAAAAAAGAATCTTAGAATAGTTGATGGAGTACAATTTGAATGCACAAAAGATATTCAAGGCATTTCTACCAAATTACGAATGTTATAGTCTAAAGTTTGTTGATTGAAAGTGGATTTGGACTTATGGAGGCAAATCCAAGTAGGCAACAATTGCTTTTACTTAGTATAATATTATTGTGAGCCATTAGTGCAATTATCTAAATTTGAGTTGTACTTGCTGTTATTCAAAGTTAAAGCATGGTCACTATATATTAACCTTGGACATGATACAAACCAAAGGAATATTTTTTCAACAAAATCATCGCAATTAGAAATACACAAAATTAAAACTTACAATCCATGGTCTAGATTTTAATACCTCTTCTATAACTCTATTGTCCAAATTTTGACACTTAAAGATAAATTATAATATAGTTTAAGAGTTTGAAATTTCAACCAAACTATGTTGCAAGTTAGAGAGACTTACTGACTACCTTTAAATGTCTTTAGATTGTTGTGTTTCTTATCAAATTTCAATTTGCAAATACTAAATTCAACAAAAGTTCTTAATATTGAAGTTGACAGGTTGTAGGTGGAACTTATGTCAAGAAGGTTTTTGCACCAATTAGTGTTTTAAATTGGATTGAATACAATTCAACTTCAATTAAAAAAATTAAAAAATAAAATGTTAAGATAAGACACAGATTAATGGAAGCACTTTACTGTAGAATTAGTTTAAACAAACTTCTGGATTCAATACAATAACAATAGTAACAAAAAAAGGGTCTTAGCCAATACATCTTTACTGCATACTTAAACTACTAATCAACTATAGCCACTAGCCATCTTTTCATTAGCCACTGCTTATTGTTCTATCCTAATTTTTTCTAACCTAGGTGTCTAATTTTTAGGTGGATTACATATCTCTAATATACCTTAGATCATATTAGTCAAAGTCTTCCTAATATCTGATCCTAATCTAACCTAAGTCAAGTGTCCAACTCTTAGGTGGATTAAATATCTTTGATTTGTCTTGGACCTAGTTGTTCTAGATCTTCTTACTACCTATATCCTATAGGTCCAAATCTACTACTTAAGACCAAGTTGGTTAATACAGGATAATAAACTTATATATCCCAAACAAAATTTTCTACTTATTCTAAAACCTTAAATTACTTCAATTTTTTCTTATAAGTTTTGAAGGTGCTACAGGTAGTAAAACAATTAGCAAACAACAAGGCAAGGTGTGAAGACAATAAGGTGCAACTGGAACTATTTGCCGTGCAGAGCCTAGTTTGCCACTCCAGCAACTCAAGCAAATCAGATTTGAAGATATAATACAGCCAAGGAAACTCAGACCTAAGACTCATGCAAACTCTCAAACCGCTAACCGCAGTGGCTTAGGGTGTAGAATTATAAATTTCATAAAGGCGTGAATTAACTATTTGATTACATTACAGCCGAAAAATTAGTAAAATTGGTATTATTGGTGCAGGAAGATCTAGATTGAAAGTACATGCATTAGACTTACTCCCACAAAGCTACATACACCATACGGGTGACAAAACAGAGCAAGGCAGACCAGGGCATACACAAATGCCAAAATGCCACTAAATCTCACTCAATGCCATGCTAATTGTTTACACCTCCGTAGCTACAATCTCCCCACATACTTCTCTAAGATCGGGTTTACACCTTTTCCACATCTTTCCACCCAAATCATCCAATTGACTACTACTCGAACAAAGATCTTACAAGCAAATCTTCGACAGCAACTCCTGACCCTTCAAGCTAGGGTCCAAATAAGCAATAAACAAACTGTGCGGAAAGCTGTTCCCTCTCACTGGCCAAGACACACAACCCACGCCATCACTCAGAGATCACAACCATGTGCCATTATAACATTTCAGCATGAAAAAAATTAACTTCTTCAGTTTTACAATCTACGACTACAAAATCAGGTGTATGCATTTCCCTCTTTTGCCATGGAAGGAGAACTCAATTCAGGAAGTAGTGTGCCCCATGTGTCCGCTGTCGACATGGATAGCTGGGCTTGTGCGCGAGCGAAATTCTGAAGAACAAGACCAAGATCGAGGGTCTTGCCTTCTTGAAATCGTAACATATCTTGATTCATCAGATTGACCAGTCTTCGATACCGAGCTTGAGCCTCGTCACATTGACTCTTACTCTGCAAATATCATTAAACCACTCATCAGCATACGTTAACGTACCAACCAGTCCAGTGAGTGCCTCAGATGCTTCTAGTTGTGAAAGTAGTACATGACCTGATATCTAGTAGGATTGCAGATTGCTTCGAAGCTAAGCGACGATTATGAAGAATAAGACATCAAACATACGAAAAAGAAATCTTCTCAAAAAACTTACAAGTTGCAAATCTGCCTCCATATCTACGGCCTTGTCTGGACGCAACAACTTCTGCTTCTCCCTGTAGTACAAGGCCACGATGCGGTATAAGTTGGAAGTAATCATTGTGCTCCATAATCGAAAAGGAAAACTGGATTACAAATGTTCACCGTTATGATTCCATAATCTTCGAAGGTGCTTTTCTGAAAATGGATAGCTGAGCTACATCATAATGATTATCTCAGAGCTTGAGATACTTCGACTCACAAACTCAGCTTTTTCAAGGAGTAAGCTTCAAAATGCTCTTGATGTTCTCGGTATGCTTGTGCTCTATCTGCCATGACCACCTACGGCAGGCAAAGGTCGAAGTCATCAGAATTAAATATGAAAAAGATCGCAGCCTTAGGAGCAACACGTTGTACACATGGAGTGAAGACGGCTTCAGTACATTACGGTTTTGAGTAGATGTTCGACCTGATTCTAGGTGAGCCAGGAAGGTCCCAACACATAGCAACATTCATTCAAAGAGGTAGACGTTCCAAAAGTACCTTAATGTATTGAACAATTCCCACATACTCCTTCAGTGGCTCTTCAAATTGCAGTAGTAGCTCTAATCCCTAATAAGAGGTCCAACAAACAATACGCATACGTTACTACTCTGCCACAGTAAATTTATTACCCTCAAAAGAGCGAATTAACAAAGCCAGCTTAAGATTGTAATCCAAAGTAATATTCTATGGTTGGCTAATGGTATACTTCATAAACTTCGTCCTCAAAGGCGCAAGATGACTTTGATAAGCAACTCGTAGGTCCCATACACTGGTCGACCTATTCCATCTCATGTGTTTATTCAGCGCTTAGGATTGCCTTCCACATTCCTAAAAACTGTTGATTACCAAAAGAGGACCAATCCCACACATGATAATCTTCTTATCCTTGTCACTAAGGAACAGCAAGACACGTTCATCGCTGTGAACTACAAACATTCACAGAATCCCGTTTTCACCGTCCCTAAAGGTCTCAAGAGTAGATGTGGATAAAATTACATATTTACCTACCAATGTCTGATTTACCACTCTTCCGGCTGTAAAAACACCACGGAATCTAGATAGAATTTTTCGACAATTTACAAATGAAACTCTTGAAGAGTCTTGCTGATAGGCAGAAACTCGGGATTGAAAGATATACCTCACATACATAAATATCCATACACGTGGATGGTCGCTTTCAATCATAATATTCAATTAGAATGAGTACCTGCTTCTGTTGTATTGCAGATAATTCATCTGCACGATCGCCAATGTCAGCAAGTGCCTGCTTTAATGAGCCGGATTCACATTGGCTAAGTAGTTGGATAGCTTTGCCGAAATCAGCTAAAACTTTCCCCGATTCTGCAGCCGCAATAGAATCAAGTAAGCATGACATGCACACAAATATGCCAAAAATGCATCTCGTGACACCAGTTCTCTGAATCCACGCTAAATATCAAGGAGAGTTATTTTGAGTGAGTGAAGAGGATGCCAACCAACAGATGGAGACTGATACCTCTTTGCCGTTTCACTAATCTCATAGCATGGCGTTGTGCCTCAGCCAGATGGTCCTCGAGCTCTAAGATGTAATGCTTCAACTTCTCATATTCGGGATCAATTTCTTCCACCACCTTCTCCTTTCTCATGACTGCATCGCTCACTCTTGTTCCTGCATCCTACCAAAGAGTGGAGACAGCGTGGAGAATTAGGAGAGAATAAGATTGGACAAGAGGAACACCGTTCACAATTTAATGGCCTAAGATGAAATTATTATTATTTCCATGGCTGACAAAGAACTCTCCTGGGACTGATTACCACAACCATGCTTACAGACCGGGAAGGAAAATGCATCTTATAAGGAAAACCAAATCATAGTTAAACCTCCGTTATAGCAAATGCTATGAAGATTAGTAAGCACCTTACATACTCCTTACGCAAGTTTGTACTCTTACATACTCCTTCACACTCATCGATCAGCTAAGGAAAACTTCAGTGATGCACTATACTCTACAGCCCCTATTTGAATATCGGTAGGTGGCGTGCAACATGGACAGAAATCATATTCGCTCAATGCGATAACGGACGAGGCGCTAGTATAATTTACAAATATGCAACATTGATAACTAAAAGTAAATATCAACTGATCACCTTCAGCATCTGCATGAAATCCATCGGTTTTTTCATAAAAACACTTCCCTCCGTTGATCGCGTCTTTTCTATGGCCTGCATCATTTAGACGCCAACAGCGGCAGTGCAAGTGAGCATTAAAGATTTTAGCCGAAAACCCCAACACAGAAAACAGTTGATCACAATCTCTACGCAAGAGGGCTGCACTACAGAGGAGAATAACATTTGTCTCAGGAACATGCAGACTAAGCCAGAAACTATAAGAGCACGGCAACTATGTACACAGATGCATGAATTAGCGCTCGACTTTCACTGAATTTCAAAGCACATTAGATTTTGGAGCACTGCGTTAGTTAGAACTGCCGAAAATCAGAATTCTCACAATACCTACCCAGATATCTTCATCAGCTTCCAAGAAATTCTTGAAGTCTACACTTTTGCGCAACTCAGGGTGGGCGGTTACTCGATTAAGAAAAACGTCCAAGGCTTTTCTCCGCACCTCAATAAATTCTGCAGTAAAACGAAACTTCTCTGCATTGCAAACAATGCTAAGTTAACACATATACAAACTATATCTCATGTCTCCATGCAGAATAAAACATTGAGCGATTTAACACGAAACCTGGTACATAACTGTACACTATGCCTAAATATCTTACCAACAGCATTTTTCCCGGGTAAAGAAGGAACGATAGCGCCCTTGTAGCACTCCATCAATCTTTCGTGAAGCCATACAAAGTCGCTGAACCTCCGTATCACGATCTTCTCTGTTTCTCGGAAATCTTGAATGTTTGTCTGCTTACTCGAGCCACCATAATAACATCAATGAGCATTGCGCAACACAAGTTCCTGTAAGCGACATCCCTCGGATAACTTTGCGACAGAGGATCGGTGGGGCCTACGATATGTAACTGTGTCCGAGAGAGAAATTATGTGAATTAGATCCTAATCACTATCCTTTGAATCAACAAAAAGTCCTCTTAAAATATCCCGTTTCCAAAGGAACACTTCAAAATTACTAGCACGACATCAACTAACACTAAGATTCAATGTGACGTGATCTTCCAGATGAACAGCGCCTAGTGGTGACAGATATTTTACCTGAGAGATCACGTAATTATTGTTATGCAGGCGGCAAACCCTGATAGACACGATACGTTGACATCGTCACGAGAGAGCAGGACTAAACTTTGAAACACAAAACTAAGAAAATGAGAAATGTAACGTACTTTAGTGCTGACACGATATGAAATATAGGCTTGCATGCCTGTGCCCATCTTCACCGGCTCAGTAACAGAAACAGACAAGAAAGGAGGGTCCGAACCGAGACCCGCCATGACTGTATGCCCTCTGCACAGATATCAAGTTTAACTTTCCTGAATAAGTGTAATCTCGAACCGCACAGCTAGGATTACAGAAACACAATTTATCACCGCAATCCAACAAATTTTACACACTCCCTGTCCCGAAAAAATTAGCATTGATATATACTTTCGACAATGAATTATATTGGCGTCACAATAGATACATTAAAACATTACTTTTTACAAGAACAACTAGAAAATACACAAGTACTAGCCATACAATCTGCAGCAGGCAGAGACAAAATTGTTGTGCTAAGGTTATAACACTTATTTCTGTTGTTTATCACACACACCATATCTGCACATTTCCCTAGTAATCGGCTGCAACAAAAAAGATCCATGCAACCATGACTCAGATACTCGCTCCTAGAAACTGGAAGCTGGAATCGTCAACGGGAAATAGTCGATAATACAAACACGATCATTAGACGAATGATCACAGACGACGCAATACCGCAGGCTCATCTCACTCCGACAACCAGCATGATCAACAATTTACACGAATCCACAATTTTCAGAGACTCCAGAACTGATAAGCGATTCGCGAGCTCAAACCTAAATACAAGCACAAATAAAATATTATCTCGCATGCCCTAAAAAAAGTCTCAATGTCAATCACTGCCAAAAAATTTGCAAAGGCTCAATTCTGGCGATGAAAATTCGAGACAAGACCGCGGACTGAAACACCCTACAAAAAATCAATCCAACACGCACAACAGAAGGAGAAAGTCGGAGAAATTGGTGAAAGAGATGATGGACACCTGGTGGAGGGAAAGACAAAAAAAAAAATCCTGGAGGGGAATCGACTACAGGGCAAAGGGAAGGGGTAAGCGAGAAAGCAAAGTAGTAGAGATGGGAGCTGAGAAGGGGGTAGCCAAAGCAAAAAGAAACCCCGAGAAAGGCAGGAAATCGGAGGCAATGGCAAAGGCAGCGAGATGAAGCGACGCAGAGGAGAAGCTGAGAGGAAGTTGAGTGCGTTAGATGGTAATCGAGGCTGATGTCCGAGTCCACCCTACTTCGCTTAGTCTCTCTGGGCACAATCGTCGTCGTCGTAGTCCTTGCTTGATGAGCCCTACGCAGCGTGAGGGAGAGGGAGCCAGCGAGAGAGAGTGAGCGAGAGAGAGAGCCAGAGCGAGAGCGAGAGAGAGTGCGAGAGGGAGAGGAGCCCCTAGTCGGTGCTGCTTTCTGCACCCATGACCACGCATCTAGCATTTAGGGTAGGAGACCTATCAATCTCTTCATACAATTTATTTTATCTTAATGCTACTTGGTACATGATTACTTGGAGTTAGATGTGTATTTGCACCGTTTTCTTGCTTATTTAGCAAAGTCGATATACTGGTCAAATTATTTTGTATTACATTCCAAATCTTAAAGATGTTCCAATTCATTTTTAAGTATGAATGTGTAATATTGACCTTATTATTATTTGAATAGACTTGATGCAGCAAAAAATCTTTAGCTTCTATAAGTAAATGGTCAAAAACATTTTAAATTTTTGAACGGTCTACATGCTACTTGATCACATTATCACATTTGAATACTTTCAAAAAATACTTTTTAAACATACACTGTAGTCTTTTATAATTTATATTATCTTTTAATAAGATTAAACAACCACTTTTTTATGTCTCTATGGTATTGTCTTAAGTAGAATAAAATATGATGATATGAAATATTAATTTTTCACATTTGATTATGGATAGATTTGTATATTTCTAAAAGGTACTATTTTGTTTTTAATCTTACTTTGCTTAGATTGTGTGGTTTTTGTATAGATAGTTAAAAAATAAAAAATAAAAAAATAAAAAACTAATTGATTTCAAACGCCCATTTATATTGCTACTTTTCTTTCTAAATATTTGCTTCTCAATTTAGAAAACATATAAAATGATACTAGTTTGTAGTAAACTGAATTTTTAAAAGATTATATATTTTTAATATAATTAATCCTACACCATGATATTTAAAAAATCAAACATAAACCTTAATAGAAACTTTAATTGAATTTTTTATGAATAACTGTGAAAATAGAAATTTGATATATACTAGGTTTATTTAATTTTATTGAATTATGTCTTTATTACTAAATATGTTTGTATACAAAAAAAAAAAAAAAAAAAAAAAAAAAAATACTAGTCTAGTTTTTATCATTATAATTATCTTACTTCTATTCTGATTTAATTGTAATGATCAAATAAAATATAATAATAAAAGAATTTTTTTTGTATATTGATATTTATTTCTTATTCTTTGTAATTTTGTAAGATAATTTAGTTTTTAATTATTGATAAATATAGTTAATAATGATATTTTAATAAGTATTATTAGTAAATTTGAATTTTGATTAAAAATTTTAAATACATTAAAAAAATAACTTAATAATAATCATTTATGAAAAAACAATGTATATCTTATTTTATATTGCTTAAAAATGAGACTATACTTTTGGTTTTCAAAGTTATCAAAAAATAAAAATAAAAATACTATAATACAATTTATTTCATATTACAAAAACAAAAAACAAAAAAAAAATTGGTTATACTATCTTTATTTTATTTCTTAAATTCAAACAAAATTAGATAATATTAAGAAGTTTAATGTGCTAATGTATTACTTATTTTTAATTTAAAAATTTATAGTATGGTTTTATAATTATGTATAAAATTCAAATTTTAAAAAATAGAAATTAAAATGATCATAAGAAGTTATATATTAATATTAAAGAAATACTATATGTATATAAACCAAATAATTAATGGTATAAAAGTATTGTTGTTGATTCTTTCTAAAAAATTTAAACTTAGAATATCTTTATCTATGGGGCATTAATCATATATGTTTTAAATAAAAAAAAACATATGTATAAAAATAAAATATAGGTGAACTTACCACCTTAAATTCTATTTATTCTATGTAGTTGGTTACATTGAATTACACAAGATGTAGATTTTTAGAGCATAAATACTAATAGAATAAGTATTGAATTATTTATTGATAAGTATCACAAACACTATTATTGACATGAATAATTAGGAAGATAAGAAGAATCATGTAGAAATATGTAAAATTAAGTTAATTTGATAATAGCTTGATTAAAAAGTGCTTAAAAACCTCATAGATGTAGATATGACTTTACAAGTGTTTGTAGCTAATTTATAGGTTGGAAACTTGGTTAAAAAGTTGGCCCTGTAGTCCATATGTTGGAAACTTGTCTTGTAAGCTAGACACATGTTGGATAATTTATAAATATTGTCACATAGCTTATTAGGTAGATGATATATATGGAAGCAAGTGTGAGGTTTTTTTCAATTTTATGAATGTTCAATTTATTTTTAATCTAGTTCAAGAATCTCTAATTTTCTTGTCTTTGCTAATGGTTTTTGTAATTGTTTATAGAATGTATAATATATATATATATATATATATATATATATATATATATTATGTTATTTAATCTTTGATACAATTTCTCATTTAATTTACTTATCTCTTTTCAAGTTTGTATCCTTTATAGATTGACAAGAATATATTTATAATATTAGAGCTATATTATTCTTAATTAAGAAAGAAATATTCTTTTTTGTATAGAACACAAATATATTAAAGGTTTTGTATTACCTACATCTAAATTAATATTATTTATAGAATTTCCTTTACTCTTGTTCTTTTCTACCACTTGTTTTAAGTTAATTTTTTTTTTTTTTTTTTTTTTTTTCCATTGTGTTATTATGAGAAAACTTGATGAAATTAAAATTATTATAATACAAATGCAAGAGCAAATGAGAGAATTAATACTTAAAATATATCAACTCATTTTATCACTATAAATAGCAACAAGATTGATCAAAAGTGATTTACTGAACCTATCTCAATATCTATATCAAATCATATTACTTTCCCAATAATAAAACACAATTTCAGCACCACCACAATTGTTTAAGTACAAAGAGTTTCCTTTATTGCAAATTTAATGGTATAACATCAAAAATTTAAAAATTTATCAATTAAGTATAGCTTGTAATAAAGCTTCAACTTTGAAGTTATTTAACTTATGGATCACAAATTAGATTTGTTAAAACATTTCTATCAAATTTTGCTATATCATAGTTTTTATCTTTTTTTGCAAAACCTAATCAAATATTAAATAATTTTAAAGATTTTTTGGCAAAATTTTATTTTTTATATAGAGAACATAAAATAATTTATGTAACAACTAATAAGTTTTGCATTTTTCATCAAGGAAATTGTTCAATATTATATTTTTTACAATTTTAACAGCAAACAACTAATATAATATGAGATGATGCTACACTTATTAACAAATTTTTCTATAGATTACAATGAGAGATTAAAAAAATTTATGTTGAACTTATTTTATCTTCAAATGTTGTTGTGTTATAATACAACTATTCGATGATTTCAAGTAAAAGTAAAAAATATCTTTCAACAAAAGATACCTAAAAAACCTCAAATTAATATCCATAGTGTACTAATTATGAATCAAGATTAAGACCAAATTCTTACACACAAAATCACACACTTGTAATAAAAATGGGGTTCTTTTATTGATAAAAATAAAATATTTAAGAAAAATATTTAGAATATTTTTTTGAATTTAAATTTTAATATATTTAAGTTTATTATAACTTTGTAAAAAATTTGCAAAGTTAGAATTGTTTTGAATAACTTTTTGTTTTGCAAATTAAAAAAGTGATTACATTTTGAAAAAATATATTAGTTTTGTAGCAAATTCACAAGTAAAAATTTGTAGACTTGTGAATTTAGTTATATTTAAAAAGTGTTGTAAATTTGATCTTAATTTAGTAGTCAGATCAAAGGCAATTAAAATTCAAGTAAATTAGGGTCCCAAAAATTAGATTTTAGAAATCAAAAAATATTTTTATGATATTAATTAATTTTTTGATTAAATTAACAAGTTTTTATTGTAAATTGATGTTTGACTTAATTTCTAATATTTTTACAAATTTTAGAAATAAGTAAATGTTGCAAGAATGAGCAATTAAAGCTAGAAGATTGATATAAAGATTGATGGAAGATGACGACTTGTACCAAAGCAGATTGAAAGCATTTCCTTCTAATATGTTAATTCAAATATTCTTTGATATTTTTGTGCCTTTTTTAAAGTAGTAAAATAAGAAGTGTAATTTTTTTATTAATTAAAAATCAGTAATTGAATTTATAATTATTTTTAATTCAGGTTTCAAATTTTGTTATAAAGTAAAACTAAGATTTGAATAAGATTTGTTAGGATTTTTAAATTTTTTTTTTATGATTTGATTAGAGTTTGTATTATAAAAGTTTGATTAAGATTCAATAAATTTTTATTTAGGATTTTTTTAGATTTAGTTAGAATTTTTTTAGAATTTATTTTAAGTTTCTTTATGATTTCTTAAGGATTTTTTTAGGATTTATATAAGAAGGTACATTAAAGAATCCATTTTATCTTCTATCATTGTATATAGTTTCTTTATATTTGTGATTGAGAATCAACAAGTATCAAATTCAATTAAAGAGCTATGATTAGATGAGTTACAAAATGAGCCATTGAGATTCTTATAATCTTTAAGACAACATAATAGAAATAAAGTCCTTTAAGAATAATATTTACTTCTTTGAATAGATTGCAAAATATAACGCATTTGATATCACATCCTTTAAAGATATTGTTGGTGTTTAGTGATATTAATGGTGGTAGAAACTACTTTTAATTATATTGATAATATATTTTTTGAAAAAATTTACCAAAACCTTTATAATGATCAAACAACAAAGCAATTTTTTTTTCATTAGTATGGGGCAATATCAATGGACCTATCAACTACCTTCAAAGAAAATAAAGATCAAAAAAATGTGGCAAATATAATTTTTTGTATTTTAAACTTTTTCAATGTGTAATCACAACTTCTCACAAAACTTGTCCTAAGATGAAGGAATAATGTCACAAACATCAATGTTGACATTAATAATTAGAAGGATAATAGAAGTTAGGTAGAAGTACATAAAAGAATGTTAGTTTGATATGATTTTGGTAAAAATCTCCTTGAAAGCTTCATTTAAGCAAATTTGACTCTATAAGTGTATATAAGTGATTCATAAGTTGAAAACTTAGCCAACAAGTAATCATATGTTGTACACATTAATCACTTTATTTTATTTTATTTTAATATATATAAAATGGGCCACATATCACACACATTGACTACTTATGATATAAGTTAGCTATGTGGTGTACATGTTAGAAACTTATCTTGCAAATTAGACACATGTCTCACAAGTTGGAAATGTATCAAATGACCTATAGAATGTCACTACATAACTCATTGATTAGATAGTATATATAAATGCAATTATAAGGTTTTTTTCACTCTTACTAACACTTTTCTTGTTTCTAGTTTAGTTTCAAGAGTTTTGAGTGTTTTTGTTGCTCGCAGTAGCCATTCTAGTTTTTTGTGGAATACATTGGCTTTCTTATTTCCTTTTGTTATCTTTGATATAAATTCTAATTTATTGTATTTATCTTCTTTTAAGTTTTTTCTTTGACAATAGATTGTATAGAATAATATTTATATTGAATACATCAAAGTTTAGAATTAAGGCCTTTGATTTAACTTAGAAGAAATTTTCTTAATTGACATTCTTGTATACAAACATACAATAGTTAAGGAATATCTTTGTGACTTTATCAAGATTTGATTATCTTACTTAATATAGTTGATTGCATTTTAGTAGATAAATCAATATTTCTAAAGATACTTTGACTTAGTATTTGTATTGTTAAACTATGAAAGATAGGTGGTTTATAGTATAATCAAAATTTTCTAATATATACTAAGAAAAAAAATAAATAATTAAGGATCCAAAAGAATAAAAATCTTTGATCAACATGTCTTTATTTAATGTAACTTCTTCCAAAAGTGTTTGTAGTTTGTAGAAGAATATTCTACAAGATTATAATAATTGGTACAAATGTATGTTACGAATTATATTTTTAGCATTCAAAACAATCTTTCACTAATTTGTAATTAATACTATTGATTTTAAATGTAAAAATTTGAAATGATTATGATTAGTTGGTGAAGGTATCCATCCACCTTGTTATTATTATTAAAAGATGACACAATAGTAGATATAAATAGCAAACTAGTGATGCAAAACTTGCTTCATAGGTCAAAAGATCAAATGTTGAATGAGAATTTATAAGCACTTAAACCATGCATTGTAAACAGGAAAATGCAGCAAATAATTAGTAGAAACCAGATGGCACCAAGAGTATTTCACAATTGAAGCATCTTTCATTTTGATCACATCCAGTCCAGACAACATGAGCAAAAGTAGGAGCACAGAATTGCAGTGGAGGTTATTGAACAGAACTCAGCATGATGTTGCATCCCTCGTTATTTCATTGCTTTTGATTACTATCCAGAAAAAACATTTGTGACACACATATTCCCCAAGTTCAGTTTGTGGAAAGCCAAAATCCTAAAATAATCCAAAAGGTGCACATCCTATACATCAGAAAGGCAGATGCAGAAATTTTGGACGCAATTGCTAAAGAAAACCCATGGAGTCTACTATGCCATTATTTTGGCAGACTTCAAGTAGAGACTATCTACCACCTTGCTGATGTTGCATATCGTTTCAAGAGTAGAAGGATATATTCCATCAGGTTTCACATCGTCGAAAATAATCAAACAACCTGCTCCTTGGTCTAGAGTACCCGCAAATTTCTTGTCAAGGATCATTTGCGAGAGCTTCTTCTCAACATTTCCGACTGGGAGACCGATAAGTTCAGAGATATGAGAGATCTCCACTCGAGAAAAAGGTTCAATCAATCGGCATAAATTCTGCTCCAGTAAGGTGTCATATAACGAAGATAAATGACGATGGACAATTGGATCCTCCTCTAACTGCTCTTTATACACATTCAATGCTTCTTCGAAATTCTTCAGAGACCGCTTGCTGTAAGCAACGGCAACAGATTTCATTGCGTCCAGCTCAACACCTGCAACAGAATTGCCACCACACGAGATTAAGACCATAACGAAAATAAATCCAAAATAGGTCTAGATCTTCATCAAGCTTAAGCGCAAGAAATCAATACATTAGAAAACTTGACGGCTAACAAGTGTCTGCTCTATCTGCACAACACTACGTAGTAGAGCGATAAAGCACACTGAAAAAGAGCCTGTGTGTGTGTGCGCGTCACATTGTTAGGTCATACTTTCTAGTTTGCGACCAACATGAAACGAAGTCGGTCTCAACCCAGATCCAAACACCTTAGAATTAGGTCTGTGAATTCTAAAACTCATTTTGGCAAGAAATATGTGCATGAAATCAGAGCCTCATTCCAAAACGACACACGCACAACCTAGTTTTATATCCGCATAGGCAATGCTTACAAGACGTGATCACAATGTCAGTACGACTCCACTACGCTACAGCGAGTTTGGAATGAACAAATCTCACAAAACTTTAAGAAACCATATCCAGTTCAAGCTGTTGGATGTTGCTGAAGCCTAATGAGAAACTTAGCACATTCCATGCGCGAACGATACTTTTGTGTGCCCAATCACTGTTAATTATTCGGTAGGACGTCATAATCATGCTCTTTATGACCATCTACGAAACCTTGCACGAGAAATCAGCCCAATTTAAGCAGTTTACTCCAGTCCAGGTTCTTTCTGGTGTCTGACGAGGTCCGCCTAAAACGAAGCGTGTTGATTAAAAAAAAATAAACTACTATGAGAGACTTAACTCTAACTCAACCATCATCACAGAATATTGAAGTTCATATTTGGAATAACAGAGGAGATCCTCGTCCAATGCTCCGTAACCTTCCTCTCAACCACCTCGAGGTGCACTACTTCCAGTCAGATATTGTATCACATATGCAAACCTAAACCAAAACTCAACTCTACGAGCACACGGATGATGCTAAGATGAACTCTAATTGCACAAACTTCCGCCAACAATTTCACATTGCGATTTTCAAGTATGAGTTTCAACACAATCAATAAATCGTCGTAAGTGTAGGACTACACCAGCAAGAAACCGCAGACTAAGAATTCAATAACATAACTTCCACAACATGCAGAAACTTGAGAAGCCGCGCTGATGTTCACACTTACCGGTATACTTAAGGCCGGCTTTGGAAGAAATAAGACTTCCCACGTCATCTGCCTGGTTAATCATGATCTTGCACAGCAACATGTACTTCAGACTGAAAACAGCTCGAGGATCGTCTAAGGCATTAAAAGCTTCAAAGGCTTCAAAAAAGTAGCTGAATCCAGTCTTGTAATCCTTTTCTTCAGCATGTAAAATCCCACTTTGAAGGTCAATTGTGCCCTGTTGCGCCGGGGGTACATATATAGCGTTTGCCGCAGTCCTCGCTGCAGTGAGGGCAGCCTTCGCCTTGGCTAAATTACGCAACGAAAAATACAGCTTGCATTCCAGCAAGTCAATATCCACAAGCAATAGCTTATCATCCAATCTTCGAACCTCGCGAACTAGATTTGTTAACAGACTAAGAGCCTCAGAGTACTCCTTATTCTCCATCAAAAGGGCCGCAAGTCTGGCCTCCACTCTCTGCCTCAAGAACATCCTCTTCTCAGCCCTTGTCCATTCCACCATCTCTCTACATAACGAAATTTGCAAATCAGAAGTGCCAGGTATCTTAGCCACTGCATCAATGATGCCCCTGACAATCTTCGCAGTCTTAGCCTTCGGGATAAGATTAAAGTAGGGTCTCAACTCCGTCAACAGTTCGCGCAGCTCCAATGCCTTCTTTTCCTGTGACAACAAGTCCGACAGAGCAGTGATCGCCTGTTCCATAATGCGCAGCACCTCGGCGGTGGATGTCGGATGGTACAGGACTTCCCGCAGCAGCGCAATCGCTCTATCAGGATCGCTGTCCTTGAAGTCTAGCGCGTGCGCTAGGGTTTCAGAGATATAGCTCGATCCCGAGGCTTCCTTACCGTCCGCACCCGCTATCACAGCCGACACCGGGCGACCGACGGCAGTCGAAGCCATGGCGTTGGATACGACTACGAAAGGTGACTAAGTAATGGGAGAGGCAATGGAGAAGCACAAGGGGATCCCAAGCGCAACCCCTGCGCGGTGTAGAGGAGCTTCTTCGCTGCTCAACTTCTGCGCTGCAGCAACATGGAGCTGCAATGACAGAATGCGTGATTGGCAAGACAGCGGCCCGCGTCCTCCCCCCTACCGTGCCCCCGCGTCAATCTGCCCTCTGCCCGAACAAGGCGAACGCTTGTTCCCAGACTGCCATTCCTCTCTCCCCTGTGATGAGGGTGAGCGTCCATTCGTCTGTATTAGACTGAGACCACCAGCTTGGTATAAAAGTTGAATTTGTGGTTGCTAACTCAAAAATTAACCACTCTTAAAGATATGTTGTTCAAGAAAAAAAAAAAAAAAAAAAAAAAATTGCCTCTATTGCAACTTGAATGGAGGCTTTGTAGATGAAGGACATGATGTGATCCTTAGAAAGAAAGCCAATTGTCCCTTGTAGTCTATAAAAAAAAGTCTTATCTCTATAACTTAATTATTAAGCTATGTAATGATTAGATATGATCCATTGCAAAGTCCTTGAAGTGGAGCAATATTTTACAACAACACAATAAGATATCCGACCTTTAGTACTAAATTAAATAGTAGCAATCCAAATGCACTTAAGCTATTTAAATACTTAGTTGAATAATAAGTACCACTATAGGCACCACCTTCTATAATTGCTATATTTGCACTAAAATAAACATGTAAAATTCTAAAAAATCTCTCCATTGCACACTTGTTTAGATCATCAACATCATAATTTTGCACATATAAAATAAACTTGTTGGTGAAATATTCATCTTCAAGTGTTTTATCTTCAATAAATCTTAAGCAAAAAGCTTAAATAAAATCATTTGATATTGAATCTATTTTTATATATTTTAGAAGAATCAATGTAATTTTTATTAGATCTATAATTATTAATCTATTTCCAATCTGCAAATAGAAACTATTTTTAGATATATCATACAAAAATATTATATCAAAAAAAAATCTCCAACGTAATTGTCTTATATAATATATACCTTGAAGAGCTCTTTAGCAAATAATTGATTCTCATCAAATACACCTTCTAGATGCATATTTTTGGCTAACTTGTATATTTTAATATTAGACTAAAGCTTTAATTGTTGCATAGAAGCACCAACAATCTCTTTTTTTGAGCCTTTAACAACAACATAGAGAATTTGCCAAAAAACTCTATCAAAGATTATAATAATTCCTCCAAAAAATTTATGAATGCCATTAATGTTTTAGATATTTCTATTGATTGTCTCAATATAATAGGAATATTGCATTGGTATGTCATTTCAAATAATAAAATTTATCTTTTTTAGTACATCTACGTCTAGTGTGTTCATTATAATATTATAAAATAAATATTTAATTAAAATAGAGATTTTTTTTATATATTAAATATGAAATTTTTCTACCACTTAAAAATTATAATTTAATTTTATCAAAATTAATATATACAAAAAAAATTCTATTACTTCAAAACTTTATTATTATTATATTATAAATAAATATTTTTTTCACTTCTTGCTATTTTTTCCAAAAAATGTATCTTTCCAAGATTATTATTTAATCAAGCAAGAATATCCAAATATATAGTATATTATTTATTATTTAATTTTAGCACATGTTCTTCTACTATTCATTTTAGATTGTCACAATTCCATGCCATATGCTCCATAAATATTCAATTTGTAGCATTTTTATTTCAATTCTTTTTCTACAACTACATCAATAAAAAATCTATATATATTTTGTTTGATACTTGAAGAATTTCATCAAAAAGAAATAATACATAATCTTATATCTATCCTTTTATTGGCCTCTTAATTTCATAATTTTGAATCAATTAGTAATCCACATCATTACAATTTTTTTAAAAATTTATTCCATAGATCTTCTAGATGTGCAAGAAAAGAATAATAATAATAAACAATGCTCTCAATTGCTTCCTTGTTTTCATTACAAGAGTTTTTTCTAGACATTCATTTTACTCTTTTAACAATTCCATTTTTAAGCATGTAGTCTTAAAATTTGATTAAAGCATTCTATTTATAATATATAAATCTTCAAATAAATAAGGTTAATGTATCATTCTTGAAAGAAGCTAAAGATAGAACCTTTTTCCTATAGTATGATCAACAAAATATATTCTTTCAATTACAAATCTATATTATCTTACTGCCTACCTTTTGAGGTCTTTTTTTATACAAAATATTATAGAAACTCTTCATATTTTTATTGTTGAGAAAATTTTATAGATTCACATATTTCAAAAAATATCATCAAAAATATTTTTTGTGGCTTTCTATGAGATAAGACATTTACATCATCACTTGGATCAAAAATTACTTGATGCATTTTAGAAAGATGCAATGCTAATCAAACCACATTTGAAACTTCTTCATGTACTCTTATTCCAAAGAAACATCATATTTCCTCTAAATATTTAATACATAGTACATTAATATATTACTTAATTTGATTTTCTTTATTTTTGATTTATATTGTTGTATAATCATGTCATTTATAGATATACTTATAAACATATTTTATAATACAAATCAAAATATAAACTTAAATTTTGATATGTTAATTTTATTTTTTACTAAAAATAAAAATATATAAAATAATAGTTAAATTGATTATTATTTTATTGCAAATATTGTTGTATTACATGTTTTCTTGTTTGAAAATACACCAGACACTTGGTTGTGGAAGAAAAAATAGTATTTTATAAGTATCTAAAAAACCCTAATAGGTTTTATCCATGCAAGAAGAATGCAATTCGAATTTTAATTTAAAAGTACTTAAGCAAATACATTATACTTAAAAAATACTCGTCTTAGTAATCTCAACCGTATACAAACTCCAATTGCTTTATTACTTTCATAATTAAGAAATTTTAATTTCTTTTTATAAGCCTTAATCTTATTCAATAAGCTTCAATAAGCTATAATTTCTAATCTGACTGTCTATTTGATGCAAAATTTTGTTTTTAAATGCCACTATAATTTTTTAATATTCTCAAAAAAATTCAGTCCAATCCAACTTACAAATTGTAATAAAACGTCCAAAAAAATTGCATTCTTATCACTTAGCCTCCAACTTGAAAGTTGATGCAAATATTTCAGTAGTGATTCCTTCTTCTTCAACTATTAACTTTGGTTCAAAATTGGTGTGTAGTTTGATCTTTAAGCTTTTCCATACCTTGACAAATTTTATCTTATTCCAATTGATAAATCTTTAGATATCATAGAAATCCTATCCCAAACTGTCAACTTCTGATACCCTCTTGTATCAAAAATTAGATGTCTCTCAATCGTACCATTAGATTAATACAAAATTTTATGGTAATTTAGTACACTCAATTAATTAAGTATTATCAAATTTTGAATTATAAATGTGACTACAATTGCACAAACTAGTTGAAAGTGCTTGCCGTAATTGTATTACATAAATCCAAAGTTACTAATACAAACCTTGACTTTGAACACCAATTGCAAAGTTATCTCAAATCCTATGAAAATAAATCTTATGTTTGAAATAAACTTGAAGCTAGCTCTCCAAATCCAATTTCTAGTCTCCAAATATCTCTATATTTTGCCATAGATTGCTGTTTTAGTGGCTAGAAGTTTAATTTCGACCATGTCTTATAAATGGCTGATCTTCAAATATCAATCTAATCTATCCTAAGAGCTTTTTGTTCAGACCCTATCTTCAACTTAATCCTAGTGTCAATCATATTATTTATTTATCTCTTCTATCATATTTTATTTTTATTTTTATTTTATTTTTATCATTTTATGGCTTTTCTAAGGTAGTTAAAGAATTTCTACAGTCTAGAACGTAAAATTACTAATCAACCTTTAATCTACTAGCTACTAAGACAAAAAAATAAATTAAGAAGCTTTCATAAAAGCCATATTTAAATATATTGAATTATTATTAAACCAAGCCAATTAAATATTAATGAGCAAATAATTTTTTATTATATTTTTATTATATACAATGATTCAAAAAACTATTTTAATGTTGACATAGTTTAGAAAGAATGGTTTATTATAGATGAATTGTAGTGAATAATGACATGTGGTTTATATAACAAATAAAATACTCTTTTATAGCTATCAAAGGAATCCATGTTGAAAAAAATCTATTAAGTAATTGCGAAGCTATGACCAATCTAATTTGGAGTAGCATTGAAATAACTTTTTTAGTTTGGTGTCTAATTTTTGGATTCTATCAATTACTCAACATTACAAAATTCTATCATCATTAGATTTACTATTACAATATTATTACTAATTTGATGACATCATTAATATTTATTAGCAACTATAAAAGTAACATTCTTGATCACAATTCTTAATATGGACATATTCCAAATTACCACGTTCTAGGATCTTTTAGAATCTTCTACAAATTTCTAAAGCCTTTTAGATACTTATAGAATCTTTCACAATCTTTTAGAAAGTTCTATAGGCTTTTAGAAGCCTCTTTAGACTTCTAAAAACTTCTATAGAAAGTACTATAGACTTTTATAACCTTCATTATAGTATAAATAGGAGTCTTTGGAACCACTTTTGCTATCAATCTCACTCTTTGTCTTTAATCTTGACATATTTCTTTGTTAGATTTTTGTATCTTTGACAATTCCTTAAATATCTATGAGATCCATTTTTTGCTCTTTTTAAGACAACATGACCTCTACTTTTCTTCATTCTCAAAAATCTTATGGCCAAATTGCTTTTGACCTTACCTACAGTAAAACTATTATCTCTAGATTAGCAAAAAATATCACTTTTAATAGAAAAAATCTTAAATTAGATAAATCAAAGAAGCTCATTGTAGTAGATGAGAGAACAATCATTTGCCAAATCAACACTGAAAAGGCTGAAAATACTATTGATGTTGCTGAAAATCTTAATAATATTATTATTATTAATCTTGTGTCAATCCAAACTATTCAAAATATTCTTAAGAAATAGAATATGAAAGCCATGGTGAAGAAAAAAAAACCACTACTATCTAATTGCTATTAAAAATAATACTTGGATTTTGCTCTAAAGTACAAGAAATGGACTATGGAGGACTGGAAGAGGATTATTTGGCCAAA